TTAGACTAATTATCATGATTTAGAATTTTGGGTTTCACCAGCATAATAGGGTATCATCAATCAGATCTTCTCCTGTGATCAATCACAGCTTCTTGAATGGGTTGTATATTGGTGAAATTACATTAATTTTCTGGGCAAGAAAAACAATAATCCTCATTGAAAAACACTATTTATTATTGTGAATATCAAAATCATGGTACTTTTGTGTTTGTAAACTTAAAAGCAAGTCATGATTCTTCAACTCATAGTTTATAGGTTTTATCCAAAATCAGGTTCAGCAAGAAAATTAATGTAATTTCACCAATATACAACCCATTCAAGAAGCTGTGATTGATCACAGGAGAAGATCTGATTGATGATACCCTATTATGCTGGTGAAACCCAAAATTCTAAATCATGATAATTAGTCTAAAGCCACAAATTTGTAAACCTTTGCAAAATGTAATTATCAAAAGTGAAAGCAAAAACTTTTAGCATTCTTTCTTACAGCCAATACCAAAGAAGGAGAGATAGTGATAATAGACCAGCCTAGAGCAAAGCTAGCTGAATTCATACCTCTCTAAACCATGACTTAAGATAAGGGGTGATCACAATCCATGGGCTTGGCACCCACTTTGTGATGTCGCAACATCCTGCGGTCATGTGATTGCCATCTGCAATCAATTTCAAACAAGCAAGCCAATGGGGAATCTGGCAGAAGTCACAAAAGCAACTATGGGATCTCTCACTTAACTCAGGATGATTTCTTTAACAATGGCAATTGGGAATGACAGAATTTCAGTTCACCAACAAATGCGCGATCGTCAAATCCGCGCTGATGAAACCGTGCCCGCCATCAACAAACAACATAATGGGACGCGAAAACGTTATAACCCTAGCCCTTTATAATGTTGTTTTCGCGTCCCATTATGTTGTTTGTTGATGGCGGGCGCGGTTTTGTCGGCGCGGGTTTGACGATCGCGCATTTGTCGGGTCACGCAGAATTTCCACTGCTAGGAAATGGAATCACATGATGTTGCATTCTTTTACTGTCTGTTTAGCAATGGACATTCTAGTCTCATTGCTGTTAAGTGAGGACTGTCTGCATTCCAAAGCATCCAACCAATCATAACATATCATTTCTGTATCCTGCAATTATTAACTATACCAACAACAAGTAGAAGAAAAAAAAGCTACTCCATTAGAAGCTGATGTTTCAGTTCAGTTCAGCATGACTAAGTGTTCCACTCTACTTACTTGGCCATATCTCTTGCCAAAAGCATAAATCGTTCACCATCAAAAGGAGTCAGAAGATTTAAAATGCGTCTGTAGCCATCCATTGCCAGTTTGTGCTCCCCTAACTGTTTGTAGAGATTTGATCTCTCCCACAAATAACGCACGTTAGTAGCATCATACTTCAGTGCTATAAAAATGGAAGTGATATGATGAATCATTTTGATATTTGTAATAATTGGAAGCAATATACAAATATATACAATAGAATAAATAAAATAATAAACGTCTCATCCTAAACGTGGATGAAATAAAAAAAAATTCTGAACACTGCATAGACTGTTATCGTTACATACATTTTCAAGATTTTATTATATAAAGATAAGATGGAGGGAATAACTTAAATTTAACAAGTTAGTAAATTAAATGAAATTAGGATTAATTTTCTATTGGTTTGCCTATGTAGTTTTAAACATAGTTCCAGTGCATTGTTTTGTTTATATAAAGTGGGTTTGAAAATGGGTCTTTTTCCATTTTTTTTATTTTTAAAGATTGAGTAATTCTTAAAGCTTACAAAATATTATTGAAAGTGAATTTGAAAGTATGTACTTATATATTAAAGGAAAATTTTAAAAGATGTATTAGAATTTATTTCAGTTGTAAAGATGAATTTTTAAAGAAATATTTAGTGTGTTAAAATGAATATAAAACTTCATTTTAAGGTTAAAAATTTGAAAGGAGTATAGTCGTTATTGTTAATATAAACAATGATAGTAGAATGATTAATATGTTTAAAAATAAATATATATCATTTTTCACAACAGGAGAAAAAATGGATGAGATAAATGAAGAGATTTTATTTAGTCTTGTTTCTATTGGAATATTGCTTCTGGTTCTTAGATTTGGAATAGAAAAAAAATGAATTTCAGAATTTAGAGTGAAGACTTTATAACAGTGTAGTTATAAGATTGGCTTATAATAATTATACGTAATGTAAACAGTTGAGTTCTAACCATATTAATATTTTACTATTGGAAAGAGTCCACACTTTTTTCTTTTTTTCCACTCTGCATTCACCCCTTTATTACTTTCATTGAATTTTATTCTGTAATAAATCTTAATAAATCTTAATAACACTTTTTTTAAAAATGATTTTAAAATATACTTCACTTGCGCTATGCTATAAACAGAATGCTAGATGGTCATGATAAATTGGTATTATTCCTCAAGTCAATTGTTATATTTCATTTCATATTACCTGCCACATCTTTGTGACATTATAATTTAATATTCTCCCATATAATTTCAATCAGAGTACTTGAAAAGCTTTCTAGCAAAATACTGGCAAGCTATCATATAGCTTTTGAAAACTGTATACATTTTATCTGCCATATCAGGGTCATCTATCACTTTCGTACAAAATCAATTTCCCATCTTGATTTGGTATGTTATAACAAAAGACAAGGAGATTGTAAATATACTATGTCTAAATATCTCAACAAATTAACTTATGAGATGCCCATCAAAATCAGCTGAATGAAATTAGGTTGAGTAAATACAAAGACTAATCTGTAATGAAAACAATATCTTGACACTTGCTGCAAAATGAACAGTAAAGCAAGTAAAGTATCATTAAATGATCTACTATGACATTAATTTGTTTACCTTTCGAATAGCAAAAGACAGCCTGTTTAATATTGTCTTGCTCAAGTGACATTTCAGCTAGCCTGACCCACTCCTCTGTGTCACTGGGATTTAAGTGAGCAGCAATCAGTTCAAACTGCAAGGATTTTTCCATATCTCCTTGGTCTTCATAAATCATAGCAAGAGTGGAGAACGGCTCATAAGCAAGTGGAGCTGTTGAGTGTCAAAAGAAAAATGGGTTACAATTCATAATCATTTCAATAAAAATGCCTACATTTGTACATGCTGTACCTAGCAACAATAATCATTTGAAAGTGTTTAAAGGCAGATTAGCAGCTCATTTCTGAATATAATGCAAAATACTGTTTTCGACCTGTAAAACTGTAGCAGTTTAGACTGGAAGGAGCATGAGAAGGATTTCCTGCATAGACCCACCCAACTGTTAAGTTCTTAGTGTGAGACCCTGCTTTGGATGCTGTAGTCTAGAGAGAAGATAGTTACAGAGATTGGGATCTTTTCCAAACTTTCTTCCATGAGACAAACACAGCAGCATTTGAATTGGCTTTCCCCCGTTTTATCAAATTTTAAATTATTTGACTGCTACTGATGATATTATGTTGGGCAGCTTTTAATTTAAAAAAGCAAAACAAAAGCATAATTCAAATATGGGAACTTTTTAAAGAAAAATAAGCAGTTTATTTATTACAAATATCTGAAGGCTTAGGGGGAAATGTGACCTTTTCCCATTTTTCCCCTAAGCCTTTTTTCCCCTCCAAAAAAAGGAAAAGACTAAAAAAACAACCTTCCGTTATTTGAGAATTGTAACGGGAAAGCTTTTATCTAGCACTATAGTTTCTATATTAAAGAGGACAAAGAGTGCAATACAGCATGATGCACTAAAGTAGGAAAGAAAGGATTCAGTTGTCTATATCTGACTTTTTATCTAAAGATCAGTGGGTCTGCTCTTAATAAGGCTTCAAATAAAACTGTTTTATTATCAGGTTGACGGTTTCCTATTTCAACTTCTTTTTCTAATTTACAATCTGGCAAAATTAAGAGAATCTAGATCTTTTGGCATTTCATAGATTGTAGATCTCCTTATAGCGAACATTCAAAACATTTTTAACAAAACACAATTAGTACATGTAGTTACAGTATTGTCTGGCTTAATTCTTCTTTTACATTTAATTGCTATGCCAAATACAGTTAATGTAAAACTAGCTTAGGCTGTTCATATTGTACTGCAGATTGTTAAAACAGCAAAGTGAACTTAAATCAGTAGAGGCTAATATAAAAAATAAATACAATATATATTTTAGTTTTCTCCAAAATTTTCATTAAAAAAGCAAAACATTTTCCGTGCTTTAAAAATGTCCAGCAATGTAACATTTCCACGCAAGCATAGCCAAAGCAAAAAGTGGTCATACATCAAATTTAAAGAATACGTTTTTAAAACCATATATCTATTTATTTCCTTATGGGTTTATTTCTTCTATTCCTGAAAAGTAATGTTAAAACTTTTCAAAGCTTGGCAATAGCAGATTGAGAGTCCAAAGTGTTCAGAAACTATGAATGGGTTAAGTTTGTGCACCTATGCTACCATACAACACTAATGTAAGCAAAAGATCAATGCTAGAGCAAAGTGGTTTTGAATCACATATTTTCTACATTGGGAAAATTTAAGAAGTTGCAAAGAAACCAGGAGGAAGTGTAGTTTAAATAAAAACACAGAAGAGATGCAAGGTCAGCTCTATAATGACACACTGAACTGTCTTGTATTAATGTTATGTGTCCCTTCTATTTATTCTCAACCTGTTTTTCGAAAATAAGACCTCCCCGGATAATAAGCCCAATCGAGCTTTTGAGCGCATGCGCTAAAATAATCCCTCCACCAAAAATAAGCCCTCCCCGAAAATACTGCAACACAGCAGCAGCCCTGAGGTGACCACACTTACCGCCTCTTGCAGCTCAAAAACAATAAGACCTCCTCAAAAATAAGGCCAAGCGCTTATTTCAAGGGTAAAAAGAAAATAAGACCGTGTCTTATTTTCGGGAAACATGGTCAGTAAGAAATCTCACCCATAGAAGCATCCAGAGATACCTTGTCTTATGATCTCCATGCACATTAGAATGGCTTCTTCATGTTCCCCTCGAGCAAATCTAATGTTAGCTTCACCCATGAGGCCTCTCAGGGCACGAGGCAATTTACTGCGTGGACGTTTTTCCTAGAAAACAGATTGGTAATATATTTCAATAAATTCCGTTTTTATTACTACTTACAAGGAATATTTTTAGTAAGAAATATATTTGAATTGAGGGCGTTTATTGAGCTGTTGATTTAAACTGTTGTTTGTGCAACAGCCATGTACATTATTTAATATTTAGTTTATATCAGACATCCACACAGAACCCACTTAATCAAATTCTATCATAAATATTTTCAATTAAGCAGCAAGGATGTGCATGCTTCAAAAAGGGTTCTTTGGGGCAATTAGATCTTTTTTGCTTTAATGACTCTTAGATTGCTTGCCTTCATCATTTTCTTAGTCTCTCTATTAAGCACCATCTCTAGTGCAAAAACATCTCCAGCTGTAGGTTGCTCAGAGATCTCCTCATCTTCCTCCTCTTCTTCTTCATCATCATCATTCTCTCCCATCATGGAAGCAAAAACTCGATGGACAGATTTACTGATACCATCTGATATCTCTTCTGCTCAGAGAGAAAAAGATTAATAATAATGATTAATCATGTAAAAAAAAGGGAGGTCATAAAATCATAAAAGTTATCCTCAAAGAAAGAGAGAAGGAATTCCAGTTCAAGTAAGGGAAATAACAAGAAGCAAAAGAAAACTGGAAAATTGTAAGTACAATCATAGTCATAATTTTCACTTAGCAACTGCTTCATTTAGTACCATCTTGTCAGTATCAAAACAAGGAGTACTTGTATTAAAACATAAATGTAATCAAATACTCACAGAAACAATGAGAGTAATTTAAGTCTTTAAAGTAAAGAGGCAAGATTTTGGGGAGATAACAGGAATTAGCAAGAATCTACAATATTTCATCTTTACCAGTCCACACCCCAGAAACATGACAGCAAAAATAAAGACAACTATTATTTTGCTTTCATTTCATGTTCGTGTAGTCATATGATTTAACTTGAATTGTATATTTCCCAGAGAATTGGTATTAGTTGGTTGTCCAGAAATGCAATAAATTATAATAACTAACATCAGTTAAACAATAAATTAATGAAAATAATACATTGAAAAATTAATGAAAATAATAAAAAAATAAAAATCATTTGAACATGTATAAATAAGTACATTCAAAAACTCCTTGCATTTGACTTATAGCTATTACTTACTGCTAATTACCTACTGAGCCCACAGTGGCACAGTGGTGAGAGTGCAGTACTGCAGGCTACTTCTGCTGACTGCCAGCTGCCTGCAATTTGGCAGTTCAAATCTCACCAGGCTCAAGGTTGACTCAGACTTCCATCCTTCCGAGATGGGTAAAATGAGGACCCAGGTTGTTGGGGGCAAAATGCTGACTCTGTAAATCGCTTAGAGAGGGCTGTAAAGCACTGTGAAGCAGTATATAAGTCTAAGTCTCCCCAAAATCCCTGTTTCTATAGATCATTTTCAGCTACAGAACAATTAGCCAAGATTTCTCTGCCTATAACTATTGGCAACCTGACAGTGGGGAAAAAAAGTCCTCCAAATCAATCCCATTCCCATTTTTAATTTTTTTAATGGAACTATTGAATATTCTAAGAGCATTGTTTCAGCATTAGGAAAGGAAAGGCTTTGCAAAAAGATCCAAGTACTCCAAGAATGGAGCAGTAATGTAATACAATGAAAAACTATAAAATGATGTTTTCCTACTAACAAGGAATTTGAAGAGAGGGAGGACTAGTTTGGCCTAATGGTTAAAGAACCAGACTAGAAATCAGAAGACTAGTCCCAACTTCGGTTCAAAGCCAACCGGGTCACTTTGGTCAAGTCACTCTCTTTTAACCTATAATCTTGTTGGCAAACTTGAGCAACAAGCGAGTCAGACAAATCCTGTTGCAACCAATACATCAACATACAGTGCATCTGGGGGTGGGGGTGGAAAGGATCCCAAAAAAGCAGAGCATCCTTCAAAGCACTAGAAACTAGGGGAGGGGGATTTGAAATGGGTAGGAGGCAACTTTAATTCAGTACGTCCCAAACAGTTAGGATTATATCTCCTACCATCAGTTATCATTGGCCACAATAACTAAGGCTGATGAGAGCTGAAGGACAGAAGGTTCCCTTCTCTTTCTATTAATAAAGTGATAAGCTTGAAAAATAATATAATAGAAAATCATATTATTAGATCATCACATTTTTTGTATTTCTACACCAACTAGCAGAAAACCTCAAAAATTTTAAATCAAAACCAGAAGAAAGTCCAGTTGCCTCATGAAAAAGCACCTTTGGGACCTCAAAAATTTCCTACTCTGCGCCAAGATGCTGTAGACTGATCACAAAGGATATACCGTACATATATGTTTGAATTAAGGCCAACAAATAATAATTAGTATTAGATACAGATTTCTGAAACTGGGGAAATTTTGATTTATTTTCACTGCAAAGTGGCAGTAAACCCCCATTTTCTAACTTATAAATGTGACAACAAAGCAAAGTTCAGGATAAATGTAAATGAAACAATAAGCCTAAAATATACCTTCTGCTTCCACATGTCCTTGTATTTCAGTACACATTCCTTGCCCAGAAGTAGAGGGTCCATCAAAGTCTTCTGCATTTTCTTCAATGAGTACGTTTTGTCCCTGTAAAGATTAAAAAGGAAATAACATTAATTTTATAATGTTACAGGTAAGTCCTTTTATTTAATGACTGTTCGAACTTAAAACAATACTGAAAAAAGTGCCTTATGACCATTTTTCACATACAACCATTGCAGAATCTCCATGGTCATGTGATTAAAATTTGGAATCTTGACAACTGGTGAGTATTTATGCAGTTGCAGTGTTCCAAGGTCATGTGATCACCTTTTGTGATAGTCTGGCAAGCAATGTCAATGGGATGGCCAGATTCACTTAACAACCATGTTACTAACTTAACAACTGCAGTGATTCACAGTGAATAACTGTGACAAAAAGGGTCATAAAATGGGACAAAACTTACTTAACAACTGTGTTACTTAGGAACAAAAATTTGGGTTCAATTGTGGTCGTAAATCAAGGACTGCCTGTATTGTGAATAGAATATTCTGTACTAAAATTCATATCTGCTTAAGAAAAATGATATATGAAACCTGAGGTAACATTGTATGACTTATTTTGGAAGGGTTTAACTTTTATGAAAGTTAAATGGTCAACTTTAAAAAAAACTTTAATTAGTCAGTAGACAACAAAGCTAAGTAATGTAAAACAGGCTACGTGTATATGGATATTATATCATTAACAGGTCATATTCCTCAATTGACTGCACATTTTGAAAATGATTTAACAAAATTTGGCTACACTTTGGATAACAGAATCATGTGTATCTTACTGGGGGAAGTTATCATCCAGCCCTCTCCCAGAAAAATGAAATATCCTAGGAAATATTGAAAAGGCAGAATATTTCTCTGGATGTGAAAAAG